CTACACTCTACACTCTACACTCTACACTCTACACTCTGCACTCTACACTCTACACTATACACTCTACACTCTACACTCTGCACTCTGCACTCTGCACTCTGCACTCTGCACTCTGCACTCTACAATTAACACTTTGCACTTTACACTATACACTCTACACTCTACACACTACACTCTACACTTTTTCACTCTACACGCTACATTCTACATTCTATATAATACACTCTACACTCTACACGTTACTTAATTTTTATCTGGGTTCTCATATTCAATCTAAATTTAATGTCGCTTACATGTATTACGTATAGTGGTACAACCTGTACATAATGAATATAACTACAGTCATATCTTCGTATACATCATAAATACAAATAAACATGGATAATTAATAGCTTCTCTTTATTTACTTGTAAACTTTGAATAGAAAAGTTGTCCTCATTGTATTGATATAAACGCCGACAACTGTAGTTGCATGGAATGTTAAGCCCTATTGCTGCGAAGGTTAAGTATTAAGTTTATGAGTCTAAGCAATAAATTGTGGGATAAATTGGTTTATATGGTTACTGATCGTAGCCATTAAATTATTGAAAATCAATTTACATCAAAACTTGTATTAATCAATTAAATTGAAAATGAAGAAAATTTTTTGAAGCATTGAATTTTTAAAAGATTGCAAAAATCTAGTTTGAAATATCTAAATTCTTTATACAGGGTTTATATTTTGATATCGTCTTTTTTAAATAATTCTTTGATTTAGTATAGTGATACATCCATAGGATTTTCGTCTGCTATGTATGTTTACAATTTGTTTGTTTATGTTTTGACTGCATACGGTTGTAAAACAAGAAAATTAAAGTATAAAAACACAGTAAACATATCCGTCTGCATTGTTTATCTTGCAGAGAGATAACAGACATACATATCTTATTGCAGCCATTTAATAAAATAAACTCTAGCAGACATAATAATATTATGGCTTTTGAAATTAAATATTACAATGCTGATTCTTAACAAAGACGATCTCGAATTTGACACCAATTTCGCATGTTTACCGGGACACCCTGTATCATAGTTGTTATCTCTGTTTGTCTGTTTGTATGTCCGATCATAACTCATGAACCCCTTGAGCAATCTGCCTCAAATTTGATTGGGGAACTCGATAGAACCACGGGATTGTGCTTAGCTTTTAGTTTTAAAATTTTAAGTTGAGTGGGGTGAATTTTATAGGAAAAATCCAGGCGAAGCTGGGTTCCCAAGCTAGTATAAATAAAGTAGTAATCTGTTGTTTCGTGAGTTCGATAATAACTCATGAACCCCTCGACAGATTTGCCTGAAATGATCGGGAATGTTCTGAGATTTGTTTAGAAGTTTTAAGTTTGTTGACTTTTATAAAGGAAAACTTATTTTCCAGGCAAAGCTGGATTCCCAAGCTATCATTCGTATAAATAAAATGCTGCGCAAATAAAAGACGAGTTTAATGTCGTCATTTTATTCCATTTAACATATGAATTCGTAAATATTTTGTCTATTAAAACGATCTGTAAAGTGGTTAGAAATAAAATGCAAGAACTAGATATTCAAGTTCTATTAAATCCACAACTTTCTAGATTTTATATCCGGGAGGGTGGGAAGTAAAAGTAAAAGGAAGTCAGAATGTAAAAGTGCAAGTGTAAGTAAGCTTAAGGACTAAAAGTGTCAGAAAGCAAAAGTGTAAGAAACACAGGAAGTAAAGTGGAAGAAATTCAGGAAGTAAGAGTGTAAGAAAGTCAAGAAGTAAAAATGTAAATAGGGCTGAACGTAAAAGAAACACAGGAAGTTAAAGTGTAAGAAAGTCAGGAATAAGAAGGACATGAATTCAAAACTAAGGAAAGAAAGGAATAAGAAGGACAGGAATTCAAAACTAAGAAAAGAAAGGAATAAGAAGGACAGGAATTCAAAACTAAGGAAAGAAAGGAGAAGGACAGGAATTCAAAACTAAGGAAAGAAAGGAATAAGAAGGACAGGAATTCAAAACTAAGAAAAAAAAGGAATAAGGACAGGAATTCAGAACTAGGGGAAAAAGGACAGGAAGAAATAAGAAGGACAGGAATTCAAAACTAATGATTAGGAAGTGAACAGTTTTAAGTCCTGTTCTACATATTTCAATAGATAAAATCATTACAATCATACAGCAATAGGAACCCCCCGGGGTTTACTGCATCTAAGGTCAATATTTATAAATATACCTGTAAAGTGTATCAAGGTTGGATTCAATATACACTTTACACTTTACACTTTACACTTTACATTACTTATTTACACTTTACACTTCACACTTTACATTACTTACACTTTACAC